AATTGGATACGATAACATAATATTTTTTAAAATAAAATATTCTAATTGATGATCACGGACCATTTTAATGAATTGAGCTATTGTATTCCCTAACAGTTTTTTTGAGAACATAACATATAAATTTATGATGGTTATGATAGCTCAAATCACCGTTTTTGATATGACCTCTTGTTTGTTTATTTATTTTCATAAAATCTTTTATTTACATAAATGACTGCTTTGAATTCATATATGTTCAAAATTTTATAACAAAAACAAATCATTGTATAGCTCAAATTCAATAAAAAAGATACACTTACTGTATTTGAAGATCCCAAAATACATAGTTATTTTTAACACCATGACATGACGCACAAAATCTATTAGCGAAATGGACATCTTGTGCTGTTACCGGAAGTGTATCTGCCAGGGTCTGTAACTCTTCGTTGAAAACATTTTCACATAACAAATGTTCAGAAGTACTGGCATTTTTCGGACAACTAGCAACTGTTAAATGTCCGAACAATCCAGGTGTTTTAATAGCAGATTTTATTGTCAGGTTTTTGTGATCCCGGTATTTATACGGGTCCATACATTTTAAATAGTCCAAATACTGCCTGGACAGTTGAAGACTTTGAAGGTGACCAGAGCAGTTGTTTGTTGGAACGTAAGGCTGAAAGCAATCAAACACCAAGCAACAAAATGACTCATTCCTTTGATCTGTTGGCTTTACAGAAAAATTCCCAGGAAGAATATCGGCACCAGAAGGAGATATCAGATTTGGACATAGGGAATATAATACAGTAATGTAAGTCTTCGTCCATTCTTCCTTCATTTCTTCTAAAATGTCAATAAAATAGATGTCGTCTTCACTACCTTTGGTATTTGGACAAATTAAAATAAATGAAGTCATTATGGCTATCAATTTTAACTCCATTTCACAATGTTTCAAATTCTAGCAAAAATTTGTTAGGGTTGCAACTAAATGATTGTCGAATAAATGTTTAAAAATCTCAAGAAAGAAATGTTTAACATGTAACTGAATTTATCAGTGTAAGACACTAGTGATATTACATAAGACTTATATAACATGACGTTGACATTTGATACAGTGGATGTAATTGTTGTTGCAAATATTACCATATTATCATTAACATATGATTAATTGTAGGATTTTCATGTGTTGCTCCTTTTGTTAGACCGAATCGTAAATTAAGCCCTAGTATTATGTCTTTGTAAAATGATAATCAAATAAAGTACTGTTTGAGTTTCTAATACAACATTTAAATGGTCTTTTAGAGATAACCACGAAATTTGCTTGAATAGAAGTAAAACACCGTAATCAGATTCTTTTTTTATTTGATTTTACTGAATAACGTCAATATTTCTTTTTTAATGAAATATCTCACAAAGAAAAATATTTTCAATGAAAAAGTGACATTTACAAAGAATTTCGATAATAAACTAGAGTTAAATAAGATTTATGTCCATTTTCTTCACAATTAATTTACATCTAACAATATAACTAAACACAATGAGGAGAATGTTATAGAGCGTCTTTTTACAAAAAGAAAATTTTATTTGTCAATAATTCAATCTTAACATAATTCACAAATATTTATTAACGTAATAAAAAATCTTCTCTAAATCATAGAATAGAATGATATTGTTAAATTTTCTATCAAAGCGAATAAATAGATTATTGTTGTTATTTATAGTTGTTGAGACGAACGCCGTCTATTTTAGCCATTGTCCTGTAATATCCAATGGAAATACGATAATGAAATAAAATATGTAGAACCAACGACATTTTGTAAGCTGCCACATGACACGATGTTCCTGGCAGTAAAGCCGACAGCTATGATAGGGTCAGTAACGTCTTAACCTTACAAAGCATCTTAAAAGAATTCCCGCTAAAGGTTTTGTAGAAACAACAGCTGACTTGTTAGATATTTTTTTATTTTCTTTAAGAATAATTCAAATGACTATGAAAAACAAAACAACCACTAAAATACATTATTAAAAAGAATACATCAGAGAGTCAGTTCTCTTTTTAAAGTAAGTTATTGCACGATTGCAGAGACCCTATTTTACTCTATTTCCATTTTGTGTAGTTTCTTGCTTAGAAAGGCAATATGAAAATATCTGCAAATTTCTAATATAAATTTCTTTTTCAATGTTGCAGTGAAATTAAAAACAGATTTTACCTTACTAACACACATTTCTTCAAATCGAAGCTCATTCAAGAATGTTTGTAATTTGAGCTTTGATTAAAGCTTTGCTTTGAAATAATGAAAAACAACTGACCAGTTTGATATAGGCCTAATGTAGAGTCTGCCCCACTCATTTTATCGGACAGATAGTATGTGAAGGATATTTATAGATATTAATGTGGTAACGGGGATTGTAGATAAGTTAATGTTCATACAAACATAAGACACAATATTAAGTTATTTAAATTTTACTTGAACATTCCTATATACTCCTAGATGTGCTGTCAGTAATCATGTTTAATGGGCGTAACGTTCTTTGTATCTGTTTGCAAACCTGTTAGAACCAATGAAAATTTTGAGGCGTGGTAGTACTCGTGGGATTATTTTTTTAATATGTAATGATATATACAGCCAATAATAAGATTTTCTGATTTGTTGTCCTTACTATGAACAAGCCTAGGATCAATCAACTTTATTCTTTTTGTGAATATCGAATAATAGCAAACCATAAATATAGATGTTAGCAATTATCAGTGATGTATTTTACCTTAGATATAACGCTTTGATGATAGTGTATCACATAGAGTAACTATATATTTTTGTAATCGGAGTTTTATCATTTAATCTAAATATTGATATAGTAAATGAAACCCACTTTTGTCATTAGGGTTAATATATAATATTAATCACAATTCTTATTGCATTATATTTATTGGTAATTTTATTTCTTAATTGATAAAGGCTAATTCAGAAAAAAAAGTTACAACTATTATTTATAAGAAAGAGCGTTTTTTTTTTTGAAAAAGTTGCTAACTTGATAGAAATGGGACCAATGATTTAGCAGCTGGACAACATAATTAAAATTACTGTAACAGCCTTCTTGAAATTTGGCACGAATATGTTGATAACACATATATCAAGTTAAATTCAATAACATAGTATTTAAAACAAATGTTTAACACTAAATCCGTTCGTCAGAACTGAATAAGTAGTCCAAATGCAGACATCAAACATGCCGGACAGTTCGCTGAATGTTAATTGTCGATCTTGTTGAAATGGCACTAGCGTGTCACATTGAAGGTTCGATCATAACCGCCATATTAACACATCTGCGGATGTTTCAAAATTCGAAAGTTCACCATTTTCGTGTAAAATATTGAATTCCGCTTAAGCCGATGCTAGGAGGCGTGGACGGTAACTTTTCCAATACCGTCCATGAACAGGCTCAATAAAACCGAGTCTGCATCATTTTCAATTTTGTTGTGTTGTATTAGTTTTTCTCTATATTATTTTGAAATTGACGCCAATTTGCCGCTATCATCTTGCCCTTTACTATTTGTGATTTTGTATTAATTTTCTTTGAATTGCTTGAGCAAGCTGTAAATACATGTAAATGTCCTGATGTCCGACTAACTGTACTTTGTTAATTTCATATGTTCGTGTATATCTGAAGGTGTATCACCAGTCTGATTGCATACATTTTTGACATCATGCCATTTAAATATAATAAAAATTGATGGCGGAATATCTAGTCAAATAGAAAATGAATTATGATTTCATTAGAGGAACGAAATTTTTGTTGATGTACTACATCGGATGCGTGTTGCAATGCATATGAAATTCAATATTACAAGGAACGAGCGTTAAGCGCAAGTATCTAAATAATTTACATTTGTATAGTACTTTGTACTTTATATTAATCAACATTTTTAATATGCAATATCAAGTGCAACTCAAAGAAATGTAATTTGTTTAGAAGTGTGTATAATATACTACTTTTTGACACATAAAACATCTTTTAAGTTATTTCCATACATAATGAAAACATTCACATTTTGTCTTTTTACTATCTGCTTAGAAGAGTATTAATAACAAAAAGAAATGCTATTATAATGCAATACAACATGTTATTCTATTTCACAAATGAATTTATTCCGGTTGGAACAAGGTTGGTCATCCCAAATTCCACTGCCGTATCCCATTACAACACACTTTCCATTTCCACTTGGCTGAAAATTTCCGAAGTCCTGTGCAATGGAACCAATAAATGCAGTTGAATGTACATACTTACATATAAGTATAAATCGCTAAGATTAACTATTAAAGTACATTAAAGGTCATTTTGCACAATCAAATGAGTATTTATGGAAAATGGGTGAGCAAATGAAAAAAACTGTACATACAAAGTTATTGGTAACGCCTACGTCAAACAGTATAAAAATCTCCTGAAGAAAAAGTTATTCCCGTTTAGTGGATTAGCTTATCACTTAATAAACTAAAATATTTATACAAATCTGTCTTTTACAAAAAAAATCCTTTAAAGTATGAAAGTATGCTACACATTATTAATAAATAATTCAGTTCATCATTTAAATTTATATCTTTAGGAGTGGAAATTTTACTTCAAAGCTGTCTGCTGTCTTGATACCATTTCCCCATCTCCATTTACCATTTTTAGAATCTAAGAACGCTCCGATCCAAAACTTTTTGTCTGTTACAGTTAAAAAAATGTAGAATGCAACCATTAAAACAATTAACGAGAATGAAATAGATAAGGAAACTAAATAAAAGAAAGAGGGGAAATAATCGATGCATAAAATATCAATTCCTTAAAAGGATAGTTCAAAATTTTATCACTATTAATGCTAATTCAAATTTCCAAATGTTCATTAAATTCGAATACTTAATTTGTTTTTTCATTTTTATCCTGCTATATGTGTTCTCCTCTTATCCAATTTTGCTATCTTATAAGTATTTAAATTACGTACTTATTACATAGAAAAATTTTTTTTGTCGTACTAAGTTAAACTATATAATAATGTACTTACTTGTTATTCCCGGAATAAGTGCGCTAATATTCTCAAGGAAACTATGTTCTAAAGCAGTCTCAACATAAACAAGATGGCCACCAGAACTGGAACATTTACTCTGCAAAAGTACATTTGAATTTTTTATAATTTATGTAGTATATCCAATTAGTAAGTGACTATGATATGAACATGACATTGAACAGGCCACGTTCCGTTGGTGATTGATGATTAATCACTTAAAGAAACAGGACAATTGTACACATATTTTCTTAGAAAACTATTAACAATTATGTTGGAAATTTTCACAGTGAAATTATATTTGATAATTTTCACTGTAGCCGGACTATATTTTCAAGAATGCAGATGAAAATTATGTTTAATAACTAATTAGAATTATCACCAGGAATAAATTCCGTCGTATGTAAACTTTTCTTCTTTTAACGAAAAGCAAGTAAATAACTGCATACATTGTGTTAGAATGTAACAATTTTCGATCAATTACAGAACTTAATTTCAACATTTGTACATTGACGTCATGATGTGATGACGTCATGAAGAAGAACGCATGATGTTACGCGGCTAAAAGGGCATGGAATGAATAGAAATTGTTTTTTGTTTTGCAAGTAATATTGGAATATATTTCACCAGCTATTTTACTTTCACCGGTGTCCACTCAGTGAAATATGTTTGATCTTAAAACAAACAAATATCCTCTATTTCCGGTAAATGAAGAGATATAGTAAGAAGTAGCATGTTTTGTATTTTTGATTAACACTTAAACTGCTAAATGCCTTAAATTAACTTGCCTATCTTACTATTTTCGGGAATTTCCGCTATATCAATTGAGGGAATATCAAGATGAAAATTAAAAAAGAAGTTGCTTGTTACATGTAGTATACAAGTAGTATACAGCCTGGTCGGACTGCACTGTAATACACGCTGGTTTAGCTCTTAATAGGTTGCAACGCTGATACGATGTTGGTTCGAGCAGAGTAGGGTTAACATATTTTCAAAAACTTGTATCTTTATTTTAACTGTGTTACTCGTTGATTATAAAAGTCTACCTCTGCTTCCTCTACTGTCAGGAGGTCTGTGTTAAAACTATAATAGTGACTGTTGTACTGAAAATATCCACACATGTTGCCGTTCTTTCCTGAAATTACCTTTATGAAGTTAGAATATGGCATTAGGCATGCATAAGGGATGGTATCAACATGAATATTAATGTCGCCTTTGAAGTCTATGGCAACATGGAATGACACAATTAAAAGTATTGTTTGAATGTGCATTTTTATGAAAACAGAAGAACAGGGGAATTTGGATAATACTTTGGAGTATAATTTCTTATCTTTGTCTAATATAAACACATCAAGAAATCTAGAAAGCAATACAAATTTCTTAATAATAACATAAAAAGTCTTGCTGATAACAAGTAAAATATTTCAAATAGGCCAACATGTATAATAAAATGGACTTCATTAGTTAAAAATAATGACAAAATACATCTATTCTATTTGATCTCTCTATTAATAAGGCATTTGTACAGAGATAAGCTAAAATTTTAGTTAGGACATTTTTATCATATTCATATTTTATTTTACAATTTGATTAGAATCTGCTTAAACATAACCATACATCACATTTTATCATACATGTAAACATATTTGGTAAATAAATTTGATGTTGTTCAAATTCTGATTCGAATTTTTTACAAATGCAAATTGCAATGGCTGGTTTAACAGGACTGAAATTTCATAAAGCTCGAACGTGTCGTCATGTGACATTTTTGAAGTGTAATTATTTTCTTCTACTGAATGTTTATTTAGCCTTTAATATGCCATATGGAATATACACCCAAATGTGCATTTAATATACGAATCTTGCAATATTCGGTAATTGTCGCACTTTTCCATTTGTCACATATTGAAATTTTATGTTAATGGCAGCTTTTTTAAGTTTTATTTAAGCGGAAACATCGTGCACGCGCGTTTTTATTCGGTTGCGTTTAGTTTTTATCGTGTATGTTTAACCTCCGGTATTGAATCGGTGAAACTTTACAATTTCCGTCACCGATGTACATTGTCGATCTCACCCGTTCAATATCGTGAACACTGGCCACTCGTTCTGTGTTGTATTTGTCCGATTATTTTTTTTTTGTTTCTATGTGAGAAAGATATGCATTGGTTCTTTTAAATATTCTAAATTTTGCGCACTGTTTGCTTTTCCTGTCTCGTGCCAGACGTTTAGTTAATTCATTTACTATAATTTAGTTTTACATTTACTTTATTTCAAATCATATTTAAATATTCTATAAGTAAATATCTTCATATAGACGCTGTATAGACGTCTTATTTATAGACGTCTTATTTAAAGGGAGACACAGGCAAATTTTCATTTCTTAGTTTTGAATTTTTCATTTACTATTCTGTAAATGCCCTCAAAGTGAATATGTTAGACAGTCAAAGGAACAAAACTTTTCTCAATATAAAGAATAAAATGATGGTTTCCTAACTTGACCCGCGTGAGTCAGGTTAGGGCATTAGGATGTCACAATAGTTGTCAAAGCGAACTCTGGAAACGTTAAAGAACATGTTAAATGAATGACTTAGACTTGTTTCAATCATATAATATCCACAATATGTGTTTTTGTAACTCAAGTCACCTGACTTGTTAAAAATTCTTCGGTGATTCTATTTGCGTATAAATTTTGTTCAACATATATAGATATATATTTTACGCTTTAAACCCAAAATATATCGAATTTAAACAGAAGTTCATGCTGAAACTTTAAGAAATGTCATTTTACCATGATTAATGTACATAAGATCATTTAAATATTTTTGTCATTATTTTGCCTGAATATCCCTTTAAGTTTTTTTTTTCATTTTCCTATTCCACGTCGTTTGTGTATATATTGATTATTTTATTGTGTTACAGGGTGAGAAAAATGTGCAGCCTGACCGGGACTTGAACCCGGGACCCTTGGAATACCGTACCGCAGCTTTTCCGACTGAGCTATTTGGCCGCTTATACATTTTTTTTAAATAACATATTTTGTTAAATAGTGAACAGTTTTGAACCGTGATATACTTTTTTGCTATACTGAAATTTATTTTAGAATTTTTCAGAGTAACAGAGCAATGTAAATAAAACTTTGAGCTATATTAGTCACGGTTCCCCCGTTGGACGCCAACTGTTACAGGGTAAACAGTACTGGAAGTAATATGTTTACCAGCATATTTTCCAGAACGTTTAATTTGTTTAAAACAATACTTTGATTTTTTTTAAATGTGAGTAAGAGTATGAGTAAACTCCATTTCTGCTGACACATTAACTAAACACCAAACAAATTACTTTAAACTAGTAAAATTAAGTAGATTAGATATGGTATGTACTATAATTACTTTTTTATAGCAAGTTAAGATTCATGCAATTTTTATACTAAAAATAGAAATAAAACAATTGTGTTTTTTACACTGCACCGCATAAAAAGTAAATATATGCAATTATTAAAATGCACTGAACTTTAGTTAGCTTAAATGTACTTTAATATGGCAATTTTTTAAATTAATTTTATTTTGTGAAACAATTTATAAGTTATGAAATATGTTACCAATTGCCCACCATACTTTCATTTAAAAGAATGATTAATGGTGCAATTTATTTTAGTACACCTTACACTTTTTTATTTAGTGAAATAGTACAGCTGGTGTCGTGAATATCCTTTTTATCCCTTTTAGTTTAATTATTCAGACAATGAACAAACACACCTTGATAATTAGCTTATTTTATTTTGCTTCCAATTTTTAACTTATTTCAAATAAAAAATAGCATTTTATTTTTTACTCACAAGATATATCCAACACAAACTTACATATTACGTAGACCTATACAATTCACTTTTTATCAATATATATTTTCTCCAAAGTTTCGTTTATTTATATAGCACAAATAGAACAAAAGAACAAGAGTATAATATACTTAAGGCCAATGAAAACGCACGCCCTCACTATATGTATTTTATTACATGAAAACAAAACACTAACGACTCAATTAGATATATATCATTACTTTAATACAAAACACACATTTAACAACTGCAAATAATTTAAAATGTTTGCAATCAAATGGACACCAGTAAATCGAAAAACCTAAGGTGAAAATCCCAAAATCACACTTTTTCATCAGAGAAATGGCAAAAACCAAAATGAAAATCCAATACAAATTCACTCATAAATGTCTATTCGTAATGTCACCGTCGGGATCTTGAGATACGACAATGTCCTCTATCAGCGTCTCTTACAGATGTACATCGTCGCCTCATAGATCTTACGCTGCGGATAGTCACCTGTGGAATCTTACGCCATTCGGCCTGTAGTGTAGTGCAAAAACGCTGGTGAAGCCGATAAATTGTAGGCCGATGGACACCAAAACGGTTGGCGCTTTGTTTGTAAGATAGACCATACTGAATATGTCCTAAATAAACCCAGCTGTAATGGTTTCTTTGTAGAACCATTGCATATAATTTGCTAGCAAGTCTTCAGTAGTGTTTGAAATTTATCACCTTTTATAGAGGAAAAGTGAGAATATGCAATTTCCATGTGAGCTTTTACGATTTCTAAAACTGACCATTGGAATAGTTTAATATTAATTAGTTTAACAAGTTTATAATTAACAGTTTAAAACATTAATAATTTCATTTCAAAAAGTAACCATGAATTTGTTCAATCTGTTTTTCTGTTGTCATCTTATCACAATTAGCCAAAAGTGTTACTTTTGATTCTCCGGGTACCGTCTTTATTATGCAATAATTTCATTAAAATGCAATCATTTTTCATAACGTGGGTATCTAAATGACCGGAATGCATTCGGTTTTATGAAGCTGTGAAAAAATATTTAAAAGAAATATATTTTCCTTGTTAAAATGCAATTATCCCGACCGTGCGTTTTCACTGTCCTTAAGTATACAAAATTACGTGGAAATGCGTCGCCGTCGGGGAGGCAGAACAATAGGGATTAAAATATTTGATTGAGGCTCTAGAAAATATCGTGAACTGTGGCACTGTCGGGAAACTTTAACAATAGAACTTTTGTATACGTGAATACAACTTCAGTAGAAGCAAAGAATAACTCATGCAATGAAGCCGACGGTGAAACTATACATTTGAACTAAATTATAGGCACAAAACATAAATAGAAATGTAAAAAATATCGCTAAATTAGCGACACTCCCCACGGAGAAAATACTAACCAGAATTTTAAACAACCAAAAAGTAAACCACATTTTAAATTCAAATCATAATGATATAAGCATTTCCTTAACACAATCAATATACGAATAAGCTTTAACTACGTTGACTGTTAATATATAGAAGTATTTATATAAGTTCAAAATTCAAAGTCATGAATTAAATAATTTCCTCACTATATACACATGATTTATCTAAATTTAAAAGGCACACATTCAACTATATTATTTACAGTCAACACAATTTCTCTTCACTATACACATATAAATCATATATTCCCATGTCTTTTAAAACCAGTTTAATTTCTCCAATTTGAACACAGTGTTTGTGAATAGCACTAATGCAAAATATCCAAAGTTCATATGACCGTCAGTACAACAAACCACAGGGTTTCCTCATGTATCACTTCGTCATTTCTATAAGTATATTCTGTTTCTCGAGTCAAGCTTTCTCCGACCACTACTCTACGTATATCATCTGTTGTATCCGGGGTCTCAAATGTAGACTCATATGTTTCACTGTCATTAGTGTTAACGTTGTCTGGACATCCTCGGGGATCCGTGGTGCTGCCGTCCTTGGCGTCTTCTCCATCATCGCTGGTCGTAACGTTGATCACTTCGACGTCATCCGTGTCCGAGTTATTTCAATGAAAATGATCATATATGGCATCATCATTGCATTGGTCATTTTAAACATAATCCAGCTCACTATCGTTTGCGCTATCATTGACGTATTTTTTACGTTAACATGGTGTTATTGACGATTGTAGTTTGCCTGCTTTTAACCTAGATTGCGTTCTTTCTCTTAGGCTCAAAAGATAGTCATTACGCCAAATTCGCCAAAATGAGTTTAGAAGCTTGTGTCCTTTTTCCATAATTTCAAAATCTCAGTCTCAGAGTTTTTA